ATATGCAGATTTTGTCAGCATAGTGAATTTAAGCAGAGGCGGTAATAAGTCACAGACACACAAACTCTTATCTTTCCTTGAAGAACTGAATGGAGAATTCGGTGACCTACCACTGCACACAGGCATCAGGTGGCTGAATGCTGGAAAAATGCTCCAGCAATTCTTTACTCTTCGAAAAGATATCCTTTCATTTTTCAATATGAACAGCTGTACCAAACTCAGCTGCGAGATAGACTTCCTTTGCACCCTAACATTCCTAACAGACATGACAGCCCAGTTGAATGTGCTGAATCTGAGCTTACAAGGCAAATGACAAAATATTTATCAACTAGTTGGACACACTGAAGCTTTCCACAAGAAGCTGAAGCTATTCAGTGTGTGTTTAAGAATGAACTATCTTGCACACTTTTCTCCTTGTCGTTAATTCATGGCAGATGATATCGAATCTCACTTTTCATGTTTTGCCAGAAAAACTAAATTTTATTCAGTGAGTTTAAGAAAAGATTGAGACTTTGAAAAGCTAAAACCCTGTCTCCTTTTAGTTAGCAGCCCCATGTAAGTCAATGTGGAGACACAGTTACCAGAACTTCAGCTTGAACTGTGTGAACTGCAGTCTGACCAATTGTTGCTTGCTAAGAAAAAGTTTGCAAGTATAGATTCCTCAAACTGAGAGAGACTGCACCAAAGCTGCTCTCAGTGGGAAAGGAAACACTTGTAAAACTTGCTATTTTGGCTTAAATAGCAACGCTCTTCTTGCCGTAAAAGGCAAGTGAAAATTTGTGCATGCATTAATGTTGCAAAAATCATTCTGAACCTAACGACAAAAATATATTTCATTGTTTGATTATTATTAAATTATTGTAAACTTATCTAAAAAATATTTAGTTGGATTAGGCTAAATTAAATTGCACTTGTTATAGTTAGGATAGGTAAGTTTTCTAAGGTTCTTCTGGTACAAAATTTCTTTAAATGTTTAAGAGAACATATGAGAAATGACTTAAGTTTAAACGAGTTCTTGCTAATTGACCAATTTTACCTATTCCGCACGACATATGTATATTTTAAACTTAAAACAAGTACCTAGACAGCCTACTGGTAATGAGAAAAATGTGTTCTCTTTTTAATTTTCTTTTTACAATTTTCACACAAGAAGACATACAAGCAGGACCTGTTTTACAGTACTACACTTTACAGCGTTTCGCAAATACAGCGGTTTTCAATTATACCCATTCTTCATTTATTCAGACTTTCTCCGGGAAACATATTTACCATGCTAAGGACGAAAATATTTTAGGGTAAGTAATATGTGTACTGTGTATGCATTTTTTTTTTAGGTTTAGCTCTATTAATAGCTCGCTTAATATATGCTAGTGTAAACATGTTATCAGGCTTATATATGCATCTGAAAGTGAAAAAAAGGTTACGATTCAATTTTTGCTTCACAGCAGTAGCCGGGAACCTAAGTTGCCGTATAAGCAGCGTCCTCCTCTAAATGATAATCAAGCAATAAATAATTATTCAGGCCCTGAAGAAAAGAAATTAAGTAATACTGCAATAACAGGGGATGTGATTATCAAGCAATTAGATAAAATTAAACAAAATAAATCCCATGGCGCCTATGAACTTTTTTTTTCAAGGGTACTGAAAGAGTACAGTAAGAACTTAGCTGCTAACGATTTTGCTTAACGTATCAATTCAAACTAGTGTTATGCCGGAGATATAGAAGATAGATAATGTAATTCCTATATTTAAATCATGGGATAAACCAATTCCATCAAATTATCGTCCAATATGCCTGAGGTTTATGGTAGCAAAATATTAGAATCGGTTATGCCCAATATATTAGAAGCTACCTTAATGTGCATAATTTAATTAATGAGTCTCAGAACCATACAGAATATCGTATTATTTATTTGGAATTCAATAAGTCCTTCAACAGAGTACCTCCCAAAAGACTTGAGTGGCAGCTCACTGTACAGGAGGTAAAGATCTAACATGGATCGAGGCATGTTGACCCATAGGAGTCAAGTCTGGCGTTCCACAAGGATTAGTTTTTGTCCCAATGTTTTTCATAATTTACAAAAATGACGAAGGAATAACGAGTGACACGAGTAAATTATTGATGACAAAAATAGGCCAAATGGTGAATTCTGAGGAGGAGGCCATTGAACTGCAGGAGTGGAAAAATTGTTAAGGTCTGAAAAGAAACAGATGCAGTTCAGTGCGAAATGAAAATAACCCTCATAGTTGTTCAGAGAACCGACAAGTTGATAAATTAGACACATGTGCAACATTAGGTATCTTCAAAGATACCCAAATGTTGCATATGTGTCTAATTTATCAACCCTCATAGTTATAAACAAGGTGATGTAGAGCTTGATCATACAGAATAAGAAAAAAAGTATCATTATTTCCTTGGCTTCACTTCTTTTGAAAGTTCTAACGCGTCAGTCTGGAGTTTTATGACTCTCTGACCGCGGGTTCTATTCCCACCCGTGGTATGCTATATGAGCTAGCAGATGTTCCAAGTCTGGGTAACAAAATAGGTGAGGTGTTGATGCACTGGAATGACAGGCGTTTAATATTGCACCGCACAAGAAATTTATCTGGAAAGTATAAGAGTGACCACAAATATCATCAGTTTAGCAACAATGAATAAAACTCGCCTAAAGGAGACATGAATGTCAGGAAGAATATAACAGAAGTGTCAAGTCTGGTGTCGCAAAACACTGATACTTGAACAGGTATTTTTCCTGATATACATAAATAACACATAAAATAGAGAGGGAGTATTACTATTCAGTGATTATTTAAAGGAAAAATAAGAGAAATATAACACAATACAGAAAATAAATACATTGAAGAGGTAAATAACAGTAAGATGTAAATAACCTGCTTCACAGTCTACACTGAAACTGTCGTCTGTGAGGGACTCTCTGTCCACAATATTCCTACCTCAACTTCTGACCGGATAACTGAGAGAAAAAGAGGAAAGTGGAACGCTTTCTACTAACCCTTATTTCTTCCTATATATTTTTAGCTATACTGACAGCTAGAAAAAAAAAGGAGTAAAATCATAAGCAAGTTACATTGTAGAACGTTCATGGATATTCAATAGGAAAAGCCAAAATAGAATTTTAGAATCGACTACTTCAGCTATTGTTAGAAATGTCGCTGTGTTAAGAGTAGCACTATGTTCTAGGTTATCCGCTCGTCCTAAAATAGTTGATGAACTAGTGTCAGCGTTCTATCTGTCAGCTCTTACACTGTATGTACAGTAGCTGACTCGTATATCAAAGAAACGTACTTAAAGAACGTGTTACAAAATGACTTGTTTAGCTTTTATATTTTAAAAGGGAAGTTTGTTCGAGTGCTCCATATCTTTTTACTACAATTGCCGTTTTTCGTCAAGATAGGGTGACCCAAAGACGAAAATTCATTCACCATCATTCCGTTAATATCTGTCTTGCCAGAAGTCTACAGATACCACAGTTCAAATATTTCTCAAAACTGCAACATTCCTTATCCATCAGATTGTAGGTCCTGTATATTCAAATTTCCAAATTTCAAATCTTTAATTCCTTCCAAATAAGTTACCTTCCTCACACTCCAACAGAACATCAAATCTCAAACTTTTTGTCTCTACTCCAGTATATTTTTTGCCACAAAAACGTGGCTTATATTTGTATTGAACCTCTTTTTTTGAGTTCAATGCTGTTATTTTGCATGAATGTTTAACTGAGTTCTGCAGATATTTCTTGATGTATCATATTTGTTTAGTGATTAAAAGTCTGAACCAAGGAGAGGTCAGACACTTGACTACAAACGCTGATACTTTTTTAAGTGTGGCACAGTGTTGTTAGAATTAAGTTGCAACATGTACACTCTTTTGCATATAAGGGAAATATAGTAAAACCGGAGACGCTATAGACAAGGTGGACAGCGGCTGTAACCCGGAAACTATGAGTGTTTTATGCGTTCCTATAGAACCAAACAATTTCATTCAGGATCCCTACAGAGTCATGCTGGTCTCTATACAAGATATATCTGACCTGTTGGAATATGTAGCTTAAACCTGTTTAGAACCTAGAGAAAGTCCATAAGTTTGCTTATGTTTGCTAGAAGTTATATTTATTAATGTTGCGTCTTAGTTTCTTGAACTACAGACCTCTCTAAAAAAAATTGATTGTGGCATTAATTACTCATCGAAGCAAAAGAGCCATGATCCCAATGTATAAGATACTCAGTACTTTTTAATACGGTCGTAGACAATCTTGAAACGGGGATGGAAGACAAAGTATACAGATTTAAGTTAAATGTAAGAGAGTCAAGAACATAAGGAAATATGTCTTCAACCTATAGGTGATCAGGAAGTGGAATAACTTAGATATTTAATTAAGTGGTGGAAGCAGACTCCATACAGAGTTACAAGGATAGCTACGACATGGCCAACTAGGCAAGGAATTAACAGAACCCAGTCATGTGCAGTTAGAGGCGATCAGGAGCCGATATTCGACCCCAGTAACAGTAAGTGGTTGACTGAAGTTAGGCCCCACAGGTACAAATGGGTGAATAGAAGAAAGGGAATAAATGGCGAGAACCAATTACCTATTATCCTCTCTCTCATCCACACTGTATAGAGATACACCTCAACCTTCTCCAAGCTTTTCTTTCAGTAACACCAAACATTGACTCGTTCCTCTAAAATTGACATTCGAATATAGCTTAAAGAATATACAATATTTTGATATTTATTACTGTGATTTAGTAATTTGTGTATAGTGTCTGTGAAACTATAATTAATGAACAACACAATTATCTAAATTATTAAAAATTAATGTTCATACCCACTTGGACAGGTTAACGCCCACAACTAAAGTGTTGACCAATAAACAACGAGCGAGTCTTGCCGAAGCCAATCAAAGCTTCTTGATAGTACTCTCTACCAGTTATAATTCAAGGCGTACACATCGTTATTTATAAATGCACAGATAGTGGCGACAGTGGTGTCAGTGGCGCAGCCCACGTCGAGCGCAATTGCCTGGCGACGGTAGTGTCAGTGGAGCAACCCTCGCCGTAGATGACTGTCATCCTGAGCAGTGGTGTTGTCTGGACACTGAGACACTGAGTGCTGGTTGTCGTCACTACTTCAAGAGGTGCGTGTTCTTCAGTGTATTGTGTTATGCAGATTAAGACAAATAAGTGATCTTGGCTTAACAACAACGATCATTTTTCTGCGTAATTGGAGAAAAAATTGATTTGCCAAATAATTTTGCTAAGATCTATTTCAATATAAAAAAAATGTTTTATTGATGCTAAATAATTCTAAAAAATAAACTAAGGGTAAATAAGATATCTTAGTTTTGTTGTAAAACGTATTTTTTTACACCATCTTAATGAAAATACCCAAGCAAATCTATATGAATAAAAAAAACTTTGGATATTTTTTTTTGACAGGTTGACTAGTTTGTTTTAGCCACCACAACACATACATTTTAAGTTTAATTTATTCCCCATTTTAGGTAATAAGGTTTTCTTGATTAGTAGTTACCAGTTCATTAAAAACCAATAATAATAATGACCAGTTGCTGAAATGCCCAAATCAAAAACAAAAAGAACTGCCAGACAGCACCAGTCAACAACGATAATACACCATCACTCATGAAATCGTAATAACGTGATTGCAAACGAATCACATCAACCTTCAGATACATCATAACTTGAATTTCCCTTATGAAAACACAGTACTTACAGCTTCATTCATCTGTCTCTTAATTTAGGTTTTCTCTTTAAAAGTGGATTTAAGTATTATAAGTGTGACAGTACACTCGTTTCCATCAAGAGACTTAAGTGGTGGCTAGTACGGGGTCGTTGAGGAATCATGTCTGATAAATAGGTGCAATAAGAAGTTGGAATATAGCAAATAGGATGCTAATAGGTAAAAAGAGAAATTAAAAGGAATGATTTAAGAAATGGATTGATATTGAGAGGCAGGTGCAGTGTAAATGTTTCAGAAGGTGAAGTACCTACGAACCTTGTTCGAAAGTTCGTAGTTTTGAGTCTCCTTCGGCATGTTCTGCGAATTCTCAACGTTGTAAAAAATCTCTCGTCGGTCGATGCATCCAGGGGGATGAGATGAAAAGCTGAAAGCCACCTGCCTGAAAGCTGGCTGCCTTGGACCAAAATGTCTAGCGTTAGCTGGGCGATATTTCTCTGTATATACCCGCTTGTTTCTACATGCTGCATTGATATAAAAATCGTATGTGAGATCAGAACATAGAGCTGGAGATTGAAATAGCTTGAATCCATTCGTGAGGCTGACTGACGTGCCCGGGATGGGAAAGAAACATGGCTTGTGAACCAGGATGCCCAGCTTATGCGGCATTCGTGGCTGAGTGGATAAGTGCGCTGCCTGGGAATCTTGACCGTCCCCAGAAGCAGTATCGAGTCCTGCTGACTTCGATCTTTTTCGATATAATATATATACTATATGTGTGTGTGTGTGGGTTGGGTAAGGGATTACACCAGTTTTTGGTGCATACTAATATTTTCCTATTTTTTTTTATTTTTAAAATTATAATGACTGTGTTCAATGTATAAGGGAATGCTTACAGCACAATGAGTATTAAATACGACAGGAATTTTAAATAATAAATTACAATGTCATTACAGGCAGCCTCGTGAGGCTCACAAATTAAACAAAAAAAAATATATAATTTTTGAAAAGTACAGAGAACCTTGAGAGTAAGACACAAGTGCAACATCTGGGTATCTTTATTGTAGACGTTTCGCCATCCAGTGGCTTTATCAATACAAATTCCAGGACATAACTTGAAGACAGTAGAACTATGTACAGAAGATGAGGTAATCAGTCCCTCAACCTAGGAGTAGGTGCGAACAGCACCATAGTCGTGGAGATTCTGAAGCAGAAGAAAGAATCCTGGCGCTTATATAGTAACGTCAGGTGAAGCAGACGAGGGCAAATTCACTGGTGGGCGGGATTCCCCAGTGGAAGTAGGTCCTTCCCAAAGAGATGGGTTAGTTGTTGTAGTAGTAGTTGTCGTAGTTGTGAAGGTTATGTACATGTCCTCAGAAATAAGATTCCATGATGTTGCAGTGTCTGACAAGTTGTGTACGAATGGTATATAATACCGACAAGATGAGAGTAAGACACAAGTGCAACATCTGGGTATCTTTATTGTAGACGTTTCGCCATCCAGTGGCTTTATCAATACAAATTCCAGGACATAACCTTCACAACTACGACAACTACTACTACAACAACTAACCCATCTCTTTGGGAAGGACCTACTTCCACTGGGGAATCCCGCCCACCAGTGAATTTGCCCTCGTCTGCTTCACCTGACGTTACTATATAAGCGCCAGGATTCTTTCTTCTGCTTCAGAATCTCCACGACTATGGTGCTGTTCGCACCTACTCCTAGGTTGAGGGACTGATTACCTCATCTTCTGTACATAGTTCTACTGTCTTCAAGTTATGTCCTGGAATTTGTATTGATAAAGCCACTGGATGGCGAAACGTCTACAATAAAGATACCCAGATGTTGCACTTGTGTCTTACTCTCATCTTGTCGGTATTATATACCATTCGTACACAGAGAACCTTCACGGCGCGCATAACGGAGATAAAACACCTCAGTTACTGGGAGCGCTTGAGGTTCCTGAACCTGTACTCGCTGGAACGCAGGAGGGAGAGATACATGATTGTATACACTGCAAAATCCTAGAGGGACTAGTACCGAACTTGCACACGAAAATCACTCACAACGAAAGCAAAAGACTCGGCAGACGATGCAACATTCCCCCAATGAAAAGCAGGGGTGTCACTAGCACGTTAAGAGACAATACAATAAGTGTCAGGGGCCCGAGACTGTTCAACTGCCTCCCAGCATACATAAGGGGATTACCAATAGACCCCTGGCAGTCTTCAAGCTGGCACTGGACAAGCACCTAAAGTCGGTTCCTGACCAGCCGGGCTGTGGCTCGTACATTGAATTGCGTGCCGCCAGCAGTGACAGCCTGGTTGGTCAGGCTCTGACCCACCAGGAGGCCTGGTCACAGACCGGGCCGCGGGGGAGTTGACCCCCGGAACTCCAGGTAAACTCTAGGTAATACATAGTGATCTGATTAAGACATAATCAGAAATCACATACGAAAATAAAAGTGAATAATTTTCATTTACATTAAACACGAAACTGATAATTAAAGGTTTTATACAAAAAAAACGCATTTTTTATAATGATAAATTCAGGTGTAAATGATAATGGGAGCCCTTTGAACTTTGCACAGAAAGGGGTTAGTTATAGGTAATACATATTTTAAGAAAAAGAGAATAAATAAGTATACAAGATATGATGTAGGGCGAAATGACAGTAGTTTGTTGGACTATGTATTAGTAGATAAAAGACTGTTCAGTAGACTTCAGGATGTACATGTTTATAGAGGGGCCACAGATATATCAATTCACTTTCTAGTTGTAGCTACACTGAGAGTAAAAGGTAGATGGGATACAAGGAGAATAGAAGCATCAGGGAAGAGAGAGGTGAAGGTTTGTAAACTAAAAGAGGAGGCAGTTAGGGTAAGATATAAACAGCTATTGGAGGATAGATGGGCTAAAGAGAGCATAGGCAATGGGGTCGAAGAGGTATGGGGTAGGTTTAAAAATGTAGTGTTAGAGTGTTCAGCAGAAGTTTGTGGTTACAGGAAAGTGGGTGCGGGAGGGAACAGGAGCGATTGGTGGAATGATGATGTAAAGAGTAGTAAGGGAGAAAAAGTTAGCATATGAGAAGTTTTTACAAAGTAGAAGTGATGCAAGGAGGGAAGAGTATATGGAGAAAAAGAGAGAGGCTAAGAGAGTGGTGAAGCAATGTAAAAAGAGAGCAAATGAGAGAGTGGGTGAGATGTTATCAACAAATTTTGTTGAAAATAAGAACAAGTTTTGGAGTGAGATTAACAAGTTGAGGAAGCCTAGAGAACAAATGGATTTGTTAGTTAAAAATAGGAGAGGAGAGTTATTAAATTGAAGTTAGAGGTATTGGGAAGATGGAGGGAATATTTTGAGGAATTGCTAAATGTTGATGAAGATAGGGAAGCTGTGATTTCGTGTATAGGGCAAGGAGAAATAACATCTTGTAAAGTAAAAGGACACACGTGCAACTAATGTGACATTTTATTGTGGCAACGTTTCGCTCTCCAGGAGCTTTATCAAGCCATTACAAACAATACATGAACACAGAGGGTATATAAAGGCTCAGTGTGAGGTGCAATACTAGTGAGGTACCATTTCGATGTTCACTAGTGGTAGTGGTAGTAGTAGTAGTAGTAGTAGTAGTAGTGACAAAAATAATACAATATGGTAGAGCAGTGTATTATTTTTGTCACTACTACTACTAGTACTACTACTACAACTAGTGAACATCGAAATGGTACCTCACTAGTATTCACCTCACACTGAGCCTTTATATACCCTCTGTGTCCATGTATTGTTTGTAATGGCTTGATAAAGCTCCTGGAGAGCGAAACGTTGCCACAATAAAATGCCACATTAGTTGCACTTGTCCTTTTACTTTACATATTGTCGGTAATTCTACCAACTTTATTACAAATAACATCTTGTAGGAGTGAGGAAGAGCCAGTTGCGAGTGTGGGGGAAGTTCGTGAGGCAGTAGGTAAAATGAAAGGGGGTAAGGCAGCCGAGATTGATGGGATAAAGATAGAAACGTTAAAAACAGGTGGGGATATAGTTTTGGAGTGGTTGGGGCAATTATTTAATAAATGTATGGAAGAGGGTAAGGTACCTAGGGATTGGCAGTGTGTGTGCATAGTTCCTTTCAATAAAGGCAAAGGGGACAAAAGAAAGTGCAAAAATTATAAGGGGATAAGTCTGTTGAGTATTCCTGGTAAAGTGTATGGTAGAGTTATTATTGAAAGAATTAAGAGTAAGAAGGAGAATAGGATAGCAGATGAACAAGGAGGCTTTAGGAAAGGTAGAGGGTGTGTGGACCAGGTGTTTGCAGTGAAACATATAAGTGAACAGTATTTAGATAAGGCTAAAGAGGTTTTTGTGGCATTTATGGATTTGGAAAAGGCGTATGACAGGGTGGATAGGGGGGTAATGTGGCAGATGTTGCAGGTG